TAAAACTAAGGCATAAATCAAAATAATAGTAATAAAAAAATCATATAATAATACCTAAACATTGCATTTATTTAGTGCAAATTAACTAACAAGTTTCAGCCTAACTAAAGCTCAAGCATGACATGAGCCTTTACTGTCTTCTTGGAAGGCATTGTGGCTTTGTGAAGCTGCATCTGAAGAGGCATTTAGATACGCCAATTTACACTACTTAATTCAGCTCAGAGGGACATGAATGCATTTAACCTGCAGTTACAAATGCATACATAATATTTTGTTATTTTAAACATAAAACATTTAATACTGATATTTACAATTATTTTAAAAATGAAAAGATACTTTAAATGTGAAATTAAAACCACCAGTAGGTGGCAGCAAGTGACTCCGAAACCACTCCCTATCCACTATAGGATTGGGACAAAAATCATACAAAAATGATGATAATTAAGTGGATAATTAAAAAATGTTTGTTAATCACCTGTAGGTAGCATATTCATTCTGATGTCAAATTAACAGTGCACTATATCGGGTGTCAGCCATTTTGTAGTGCTGTCCGAATTCTGAGTGAACTACTTCATTCCCTACATTCATTCACTACTTTTTACCCACAGTCAGAGGTGTGAAGTAACGAATTACAAATACTCACGTTACAGTAATTAAGTAATTTTTATCAGTAATTTGTACTTTTTTTGAGTAGTTTAAAAATTGTGTACTTTTACTTTTACTTGAGTACATTTTAAGTGATGTATCGGTACTTTTACTCCGCTATTTTCCTCCGTTTTTGGTCGTTACATGCTTATTTTAATTTTATTTTTATCCATCAACTTGATTGGATAGAGCGTAATAGGTCTCGTGACTTTCGTCAAATCAAATTGTGCATAGAAAACTTTAACCGCCAACTGTTTATCATGGCTGCTGGAAGTGCATTATCCAAGCATCAATTCAGTCACATCTTCCCCCAACTTAATATGTTAAGGTAAATTTCGGATTTCTGCTTACTAAATGATTTGTATATATGCTTGCCTATCTACACGGCCTGAAATTTGGTGTGAGTATTGCATACACTGTTAACTCCCGCAAGTGCCACGTTCGGTAAATTCCCAGACCAAATCTACACCTTATTGATGACCCGTCACCCGTGGGGCGTTAATATACTGCATCTGTGCCAGCGCGTGATGTAATAAAACTGCAGCTCGTTAATAAACGTTTTTATCCATTTTATACAATCCGCCTTCATTTAGCAAGTGCACTCGCGCATAAACAATTTTCAAGTTCAACACTTTTTGTTCCGTTCAGTTGTGGATGCTGCTGATTCACCGAGACCGCCACGGCTCAGCAAAGAGACATGTGTGTGTGTGTGTTCCTTTGAAAAAGTTTCCCCAGAAATACCTCGCTATTTAATGAATTTTTCCTTACAAATTGTATTATCAGCATAACAATTCGAGTAAATGTGTAAAAGGTATGGCATGAATTTGCCATCCTTCTAGAACAATGTGCATTTATGTCAAAATTGTAACATGATCAAGTTTAGTTATTTTTATTTCTTTATTGCGAAACGCACAAACTGGCACCGTTTTGGAGAGAAATCGGCTCTCATTTTAACCCATATCATGGTGTGTGATGCTGAACTATGGGTGTTTGTATTTGCACTGTTCTAAACATTAATATTTTATGTGCAACAGCAGCGTGCAAATAGGATAATGTGAATTACAGAATATACAACGTTTTTAAAATGTATCAATTGCGGTGTACAGCGTTTATTATGAGGGGGTAGAATCCACAGCTCAGTACTCACTACTCAATACTTATGAGTACTTTTAAATAGGCTACTCTTTTACTCTTACTCAAGTAGTTTTTTGGACAAGTACTTTTACTCTACTCACACTACATTTTTTGAAAGGTAATGGTACTTTTACTTGAGTATATTTTTTCAGTACTCTTTCCACCACTGCCCACAATGCATTCTGATTTCGGGTGTACAACTGATGTACACTCGCTGAAGCATTATTTCCCACAATCCAATGTGGAGTAGCGACGAGCTGAAAGAGGGAGCGGGAGCGAGCGAATTTGAATGAGAGCGTTTACATCTTTCTTATTTCTGCTTTAACGTTTATTTCATACATTATTTATATTAAAATATATTATATAGGCAATAATTCATTTTAATATTTTACTAATTTACTGAGGTGGCATCCTTGTTAACTTACAAAAATGATCATAATTTAGTGGATAATTTAAAAATGTTTGTTAATCACCTGTAGGTAGCATATTCATTCTGATGTCAAATTAACGGTTGCCTGAGGACGCTCTACGACCATTATCTTATCTGAGCTCAAAACACTGCTCGGGAGAATTTCAAGAAACTAAAAATAATAAATAAATAAAATTATGAATGTGTTTATTTTTGTTCACAGTATTTTAATAGTGTGATTATGAACATAAAAGCATTACAAAACTAATTAATAATATACCATCAATGAAACCACAAAGCTGACGCGGAGGTATGTATAATTACAATAAAGTAATTTTGAGTGTTATTGCTATTAATATTATTTACATGTAATAAAAAATTATATAGCCTATGTGACGAAGATGTTTTTGCAACAGCTCCAAGTCTCACGCACAGTGTATACGTCACCGTCTGAATCCGTTCACTTATTTCGTCCACTCCTTTCTGATATAGTCCACTCAACTGCCATACACTATCCACCTTTTTCTTCAACGCGGAAGTAAGCCTATGGGTGAGACTTCCGGTTCATTAGCCGCTATAGGTAAATAACGAGGAGAATAACAACGTGCAGTAAACGGTAAAACTGTTTGCACTACAAACCAGTGTGTTCATAATTTCAGATAATACATTAAAATAATATGATAAGACACACCAACTTTCAATATCAAGCAGCAAAACGAACTGTTTTGCTCAGCTAAAAATAGCTGGACGGAGTGGACGCAGATGAAACCGGAAGCCATACCCATATATTTTCCAAATGGCCGCGCCCATTTTTACGACAAGAAAAAGGTGGTAACCGTTTCAATGAATCAGTTCAATCGCAATGAATCACTTATTAACAGTAGCTGTGTCCGAAATCGCTCATTCACTAATCCATATATAGCAGGATTCCCCAAATCTTGCCCTGGAGGGCCAATGCACTGCAGAGTTTAGCTCCAACCCTGATCAAACTTACTTACCTGTGATTTTCTAATGATCCTGAAGACATTGATTAGCATGTTCAGGTGTGTTTGATTAGGGTTAGAGCTAAACTCTGCAGGAAAGTGGATCTCGTGGGCAAGATTTGAGGATCCCTGCTATATATGGATTAGTGAATGAGCGATTTCGGACACAGCTACTGTTAATAAGTGATTCATTGCGATTGAACTGATTCATTGAAACGGTGGATTCATTCAGGAACGAAACACCGTCGTGTTGCTCAGAGACGCAAAACAGCGTTGTGGCTGTGTTTGGAATTATTTTTTGTTGGCGAAAATATAGAGCAAAAACAGGCAATATGGTGTCTAAAATGTAAGTCTCTTAATATTAACTTCTTGTTTATTGAACTGTTGCATAAAATCAGTATCACATTTGTAATCATGTTGATTTTTGAAGGTGAAACCTGGCACTCTTCGTGTGATATTGACTAACTTTCTTTCTGTGGTATTTTAATGCATAACTGTATGGGGAGTGTGT